CCAATTTCTACTCAAAAAAAAAAAAATGGTGCCAATAAGTGCCTCTTTGCCAGCGGGGAAGTAATAAATACTTATCTATATGGATGAATGCATATATACATAAACTACAATACTACAGTTCTTAGGAAGAAAATAAATTTGTGAGGGGTTTTCTCAAAGTGATCCATCTTGATCTAATTCTATGCTGTCTCTTGGTTTCCCATCATCTTCTCTTCTTATTCCACCACTCTTTTTTTTCTTTCTTCATATTTTCTTTTACCTTCCTCCTCTTGCATGCTATTTGCAATTCTCGTGTCTTAATTCATTCTTTTTCCTCATCCCTTCATCTATTTCTCTTTTTAAAATTGTAATTTAAATATATATGAATAGATAATAGCAATTTTCTAGTAGCAAATTCTCTGTTTCATACATATATATATACACGGCCTGGAAAAATATTAATCTGTTTTGAATTTTACACCATTAGCCATTTGTTAAGCAAAAATGCCATGTAAATTCTGTTTAATAAATCCAGTATTGCAGTAAACTACTAAAATGTATAGCTACAAATCACAGAAAAGCACAGAAAACCTGTCACCTTTAATTCATCCACAATATTTATCAGTATTTTTATGAGCATCTCTTGGGGAAAAAAAAGCTATAGTATCTGCAAAAAAATCATTCATTCCTGCCTTTAGTAGTGTGTTCATTGGCTTCAGTGGTGTGTCCAGAGTAACTTTAGTGSCATTGGGGCCTCACTTCTGTGTAGCCAGGAAGCCCAAGCAGGGCTGAGCTGATTCTGAGGAAGATGCTGTGGCACTGAGGTGCTGATGCTAAAAACATTGAGTCTCTGAACTCCACTGAACGTGGACTCCAGGTCATAGTTGTACTAAACTCTTCAGTGCTATGAAGAGTTCTGGGAAGCCAATATAATAATGTTTGCTTATGATCCAAAATGCCATAATTGTGTTCTCAGTCTATAAAATTAAGTATGTTTCATTAATGCCTTGCACCTGCTTTGGTAGCTCTCGGAGGTGTTTTTGTGAGATTTTAGAAGTCTTATAATTCTTCTAAGGAGGGCCCTTCTTTAAGGGAATGGAGGGAAAAATTGGGTTAAACAGCAAAATACATTATTTAACACTTTCTCTGCTAAGACTAAGATAGCTTGGGGTATTTCATATGCCATTTTGACATCTGTGGGTGAGATGGGATAGCTATCCCAAAGGCTTAATTTACAAATGCTTACAGTCAACAACTATAAATTCATTGGATTTGAGTTGATGTCACCAGAGTCAGTGCTACACATAGCTTCAGACCTCATGCAGTTAACACATTGTATTCCTAGGCTGAAGGATTTTGTTTGTTACTCACTCAGGACAGTTTTCTTATTTAAGGTCAAGCAAAGCACCTGCAGTGGTAGTGGGAGCATAAGGTAATTGAGCCAACAGTCTGTTTCTTGCATATTTATCATTCTTGCGTACATGGCATTTTCACTATGGCACAGTCAGCTCTTCTGTCAAGGAAAAATGAAGCAATTCACCCAAGTTCACCTAAGAGCAGGTAAACAAGGGCATCAGGGAGGAATGCTAGCATGACAGTGGTAGTGATAGAAATTCCCAAGTTCTTTACCACTTACTGAGGAGTCACTGAGATTTCCAGCTGCTTCTCAGGTAAGGACTGGTTCAGAGGTGCTACAAGTCACCATAAGAGAATGGTTAAGGGACCTCTAGAGATCATCTAGTCCAGAGCATGGAGTACCTGGTTGCATCCAGGCGGGTTTGGAAGATCTCCAGAACAGGAGCCTCCGCAGCCTCCCTGGACAGCCTGTGCCAGGGCTCTGGCACCCTCACAGTGAAGAWGTTCTTCCTCACATGGAGAAGAAACTGCTTGGGTTTCAACTTGTACCCATTGCCCCTTGTCCTGTCACTGGTCACCACTGAGAAGAGCCCCTTCCTCCCTACATCCTCCCCTCAGATATCTGAGATCCCCTCTTGGCCTTCTCTTCTCCAGACTGAACAGGCCCTGCTCACTCGATCTCTCCTCACACGAGAGCTGCTCCAGCCCCTTCATCATCCYTGTCGCTCTGCGCTGGCCCCTCTCTAGCAGCTCCACGTCCCTCCTGTGCTGGGGAGCCCAGAGCTGTCCCCAGTGCTCCAGGTTTGGCCTCCCCAGAGCTGAGCAGAGGGGCAGGATCCCCTCGCTGCCCTGCTGCCAACGTCCTCCTGATGCAGCCAGGAGCCCATTGGCCTCCTTGGCCACGAGGGCCCTGCTGCCTCGCGGGCAACTTGGTGTCAACCAGGACTCCCAGGTCCCTCTCTGCAGAGCTGCTTTCCGGGAGGTTGACTCCTAATCTGTACTGATGAAATTTAATTTCAGGAATCAAATTGTTTGGACTAAATCTTCTTTTGAACCTTCTTATGGTTTTATCCACAAATTGCAGCAAACTTGAAGTGCAAAGATGACACAATTATGTTTTCCTCCTACCTCCAGATAGCACAATGCCATTATTACAGTTGGAAATGAGTAGTGCATATGCCTAAGATGCCTTGAAATTATAATCAGAAAGAGTCTCAGAAACGCTTTCTTTTCTTAACTATTAGCAGAAACTATTGTGTGAGGGGTGACAGTTGTCAGTAGAAATCCATGTTTCCATCTAGCTCTGTACTTCCCAGCTTGGCCTGACTCCTGAATGCAGTTAGTACTGTGCTGCTTTGAAGAGCTCCCTACCTGGCAAAACAGCACCTACCACATGTCCCAAATCTTAAAAAGGGGTGATACGGAGCAGCTGGGCTATGAACCCCTGTAACTAACTGAAGAAATGCAGTGTTTGCTTCCTGCTGTAACTATTTAATGAAATGGGTCCAGGAACAATCCCAGAAAGATGTATGTTTAAAAATCCTGCAGTGAGGTCCTTTTCTTAATGAGCCATGTAAGAGTTTGACGGTTGGAATGATTCTTTGCATGCCTGGAGCAAATGTCTGTGTTAGTGCCATTATAAGCTGCTCCGGTTGTTACCTGGGTACAAAATGTTTTGGGCTGTAGGTATGTCACACTAGCACAAGGCAGGAAAAGTAGAATCCCAAATGCTGTGTAAGCTGCAGGGGAAAGTCAGGAGACTAAGGTGAACCCATCTCACTAGAGCTGGAGATACTGATTGTCCAGACTGAAACCTGTGCAGTGTGACAGTGTGTTCTCATTTTTCCAAACAGAGACTGAATTCTCATCTTGAGAATAGAGAGAGAGCCGCAGGAAATCTGAGGGGCAGATAAAGCACAAAAGGAACCACAGTTCCTCCTAACACCTCCTGCCAGAAAATCATTGGCACATATTGGGCCTCCATACAGTCATATGGAGGACTAAAGGAAAACATCTGCTACTTGCCCATATGCTCTGCTTCCCACCACAAATGGGAAACAGTCTACATAAAATAGTTAGGTCCAGGCCTGCAAAACTGGCCAGAGACAGGCCTCTTCCTTTTTTTGTATCTCAAGCATGTGGAAACATCAAATGCCATATAGAGAGCTTGAGACCCAGCAGAGTCAAGGGCTTGGGTTTTTTTTTTTTCCTTCTTTTAAGTGAACAAATAGCACTTGAAAGCTTTGCTATGTGCTACGTTAAAAAAAAAAAAAAGACTCTGAAGTAATGCTGGAAAAATGGAGTTGGGCACAACTAACAATTTAAATATTCAAGGAACAAATAGGAAGCAGGAATTTATATTTGGGGAAGTGAAAGCAGCTTTTCTACCATTTTCTGATTTAAAATCAAAGCAGAGCAGAGGTTGAATGGAGAAGGAGTTATTTAAAGGAACCCTGTTTTCCCTTGGTGCTGGACGATGAGCAATACTGCTGGTGCTCACAGTTTCAGAGCACTCTTTGCTTTGCTGGGCCTCTCGCTTGGCAGACTGTAGAGATGACAGGTTTTGTTGCCCAGAATCAGTGGCACCGGACGAAGGGCTGCCTGTCTGTTCTAGCAATGTGGGAGCTGGGAGTGTGAGCAGATACCTGGAAGACCAGAATATTCCAGTGAATTCCACTGGCTTTACAGGGGATCAAATTCCTGCGCTGCTCTTCCTGCATTTCCAGGCAGTCTTTGTTAGCTTTCTCTCCAGATATCTTTCTGCCAGCTGTCTTTCTGTATTCCATAGGCCTCTAAAGAAGAGATTTTTAAATTCTCTTTATTTTTTTTTCTGGTGCTTGTTTGTCTGCTAGTTGGCAAACAGCAGCCAACCTGAGGATGAAGCTGCTGCATCAGCTCCTCCCAGCTCCCCACAGCAGCATGGGCACTGCCTGGCACCCACGTAAGAACACAGGTCTTTGCAGGTACCAGAAACCCCAGGTGGGTGCTAAACATTTGGGAGGTGATTTTTTTCTCTACAGCCTGTGACCTTAGCAGCTGGCTGCTGCTCACACAGCTGCAGTGTCAGGAGAGGAGCGGTTCAGTCTTTGCCGTGGGAGAGGAGCTTACGCTTGTTCTCTTCTTACTGCTTCCAGCAGAGTGGGTTTCCTCTTGTTGTGTATTAGTGAAGAAATGGATCTCTCAAAACTGCTTTTATTAAGTTTCAGTGAGATACAGAGTTCCTGTTCTAGCCTCCCTCTTGATGCTCTGAGACAACCTACGTCCCAAATAGGTGCTAGACATAATTTAGGTTTTTTTGCTGCCTGATGACAGCGTGAACTCTGATTTCTGCAGTGTTTTCTCAGGTTTCTCTGTTGCAGCTGGTTGCTTCATGCTTGTATTTTTCAGTGAGCTTGCAAAGCTTTCCAGAGATGAGTTCCCCTGTCCTTTTGCCTACATTTTTCATACACTTGTAGCCTTGACTCTTCCCTCTTCCTCCCAGGCACTTAGAGGCGCACTTGCTGTCCTCAGTAAAGCCCAC